TATTATGTTTGCTTCAGCCCTGTGCAATACGCTGAGCGTGATGAATTTAGTCCGACCTAGTCATACCAGTTGAGTTGTTGGCCTCCATCAAAAGTCCGGACCTACTAGTGGTACAAACGCGACCAACATTGGGATCAATACATCACAAACCTACAAGCCGCACCTCTCTACCGGTATTGGCAATGAGCGCCTCCACGGAGCACCAAGATGAAATTGCCAAGCTGGTTCAGCAACACGGAGCAGTTCCTCCGCCCTGGTTCATTTTTCCAGACCTTCATCCGTACAGCATCGGATGGCGCATGGGCTCTGACGAATCTTACATCATGATGTATTGGACTTGGTGGGGGCAAGAAAAAGAGAAACTCGATGAAAAGCAGCGAATTGAGTATTTTCGCAGATGGCCACCTCCACCCGAGTGGCTCCTTTGGATGATAGAAGCAATTTGGGATCTCGATCCCAAGGACTTTGAGAATGACGATGATTACTCGCCCTACTTCAGGCGCACTGAAGCGCTCGGTTTTGGGTCTGAGGATGATTACAAGAATGCTATGCGTGATGAGGAAGAGTAAATAGGGAGTAACAACAGCGTAAGATTCTGTCACCGTGACGGATCAGTCATCCAGACCTCTGAACAGATGGCAAATTGCAGTAAAGGCTAGAGGCAGCCGCGAAAGGGATCGATACAGCAGCAGTAATCTCTTTGTTGAGCTGGAGGAAGGTACGGATGCAGGCGAGAATATATTGAGAGTTTGTTGGTTGGCATGAGATTCGCATCCATGCTGAGGTGTCCCATCAATTCGCAGTTGAGTCTGGAACGATACCAAGCCTGCTAATGTCTATTAAACTATTTACTGTAATTGTGATGAATATAGCCAGTAGGCAGTGCAAGAAGTGTGGGTAACTAGTATCAAGTGTACCGTGGTACGACGTACATGAGCTTGACTCTGCCGAGTCTGCGGTAAGGCCAGGGGTTCAAAAAGGCCTCCAGCCCCAGTGTATAAAGGTAAACTACCAATAGACTGGTACCGAAGACCCTTTTAAACCCCGAACCTTACCGCAGACTCGGCAGAGTCAAGCTCAGGCTTGACCAGCTGTCAACTGCTCACCATATATGCCTTCATACCCCTCATAGCAATATACTTATCCAGC